ACACAAGCGGATGTGTTTTGCGCTAAATAAATAGCGCTCGGTGGGACTGGATGGCTCAGCAGGGGAACGTGAAATGCAATTAAGCTGCTTTTTTGGGCTTTTTTAATTTTTTTTTTTTTTTTCTTCTTCTATGCTTTTTAACTAAATGATCTGCAAATTAATTCAGTGCTCCTAGAGGAAAAGGGGCTGTTTGTGGTGCCGGCTGTGCTGGGGGCTTTCCTGAGCTGCCCGGTCACGGTTCTCATAAGGGTTTGCATTAAACCTCAATGGCTGTGGCCAAGTCCGGGACATTTTTCCTGGTGCACTTCCAGATGGCGTTGCCATGTCTGGGCAGGATTTGACCCCTGCAGTGAAGATGGGGACTCCTCTGCCTGGAGCAAGTGCTAGAGGGGATTGTGCCAGGCCAGGAGCTGGCATCGCTCACCTCGAACCTCATCAAGCCCGACCGCTTAAGGACTCTGATAATTGCTTGCGGAATTAGTAATTGCACAAGAAAATGCACTTCCAGAGAGAAAATGCACTTCCAGAGAGAAAATGCACTTCCAGAGAAGCTCCGCTCCCCGCTGAACCCTTTGCAGCGCTGTAGCTCCGTCGCAGGTCGCTCTGCCGTGGGGCCTGGAGTTGCTGCCCCTCGGCAGGGACTGCAAACAACCCAGAAAAGGCTGGAGAGAAAGCGCGGCCGTGGCCGGTCCCGTCACGTTTCTGTCTCTCGGTAAATGAGGGTGTTCGGTCAGATTTTCTGCCGCAAACTAGAACTGGCTGGGGACTTTGAGGTAGTGTGTCTAGGGGAAATAGGAAACCACAGAAACGTGTGTGGTCAGCATCTCACAAAGCTCCTTACTGTGTTTTTTGTCCAACATGCAAAACAGGGCGGGGGGTTTGCATGGGTTTTTGTCTCTAAAAACCTTTCAGACTCGCAAGCCTTCCCGTGTCCTTGGCCCTTCCGTTGCACCCGGCTCTGCACTGCGTGGGGCAAGGCCCTGGGCTTGCAAAATGATCCCGGCTCTTAATTAAGCGGGTTTTTTTCAGTTTTTGGAGGCCATGTCCAATGCTGGGTGGACGGCTGCCTCCCTCAGAGCTTCCCCCACCTATGTGGTCCGGACCGGACACACCACGTCCGCACAACTGGTGAACGTCTTGCATCGAGGAGCTACCTCGAGGCTGGAGTTTGAGTGAATTTCCCACTATTTAAGCTTTTTCTTCCCCCCACTTTTCCCTCTGCCATGTGTTGTATAATGAAACCAGGCACCCGTTAAGGCGCTTAACTCCCCTTCTCCTCCTCTCAAATCGGCGCTTGCCGGCATGCCAGGTCCATAATGCAAACCTCCCGGTGCACAGCTCTGCCCTTAATGGGTGGTTTTCCCCGCATGCAAAAGGGCCAGTGTGGTCTTCATGCCCGAGTCTAATCACCGCTGTGAAATATTAATTAATCTGGCCGCTGTTGAAGCTCCGTGCGCGCGCTGCGGTGTCGGAGCGGCAGGCTCGGCCGGGCAGTGAAGTGTAAATAACGGAGGGCCGGTTCCGTTGCTGGTGTAAGCTGGCGGCGGGGCTGATTTACGTCCCACCGCTCACCACGGAGTTGTTAAAGCTGGATTTGATGCCTGCGTGCCTCGAGCTGTCCGCGTTTGGAAGCGAGGAGATGGGAGGGAGCGTGTTTGGGCAATTCCAGGTGGGATTCAGACGCGCTGGCACCAGCGTGGAGTCGGCCTTTGGAGCAGCTCCCATTCGGGGGGTCCCTGCACGGGTTGGGGGGAGCCCAGGCACAAAGCCGCACGCCGGGGCTCTGCATGGAGCCACGGCGTCTGCCCCGGCGAGCCCCGGCTGCGTCGGCGGTGGAAGCGAAGCGAGAGCGGCGCGTGGAGGAGTGCCAGGGGGAAGCTGCGAATTTAATTGCTGAGCTAAAAGGCTTTGCGCCGACGGCTCCGAGCGGGCTGCGGGCGACGTCTGGGAGAACGTTTCCCTCTCCAGCATCCTCCCGTCCATCCCGCTCAGCAACATGAGAAATACATCTTGGCAGCGGCAGCCTTGGCTTGCCAGTGCTGGGCATCTCTGCTCTTTCTTTGCTGTCGGGGCCTCGAAATATTTCGCTGTCCCTTCATGCCGGCGTCAAGAGATGCGGCTCCTTGCGATCAGCGCTGGCTTGTGCTGCCCTTGGAGGTTTGGGTCTCCTGCAACATCCTCGAAAGTGTCTCTGCTCACAGATGAGCTGTCAGCTTTTATAACACCCCCTTTGCAGACGCTGACTTTTGCCGAAGGACGCTTGGATGAGCAGTGATTAACGAGCGGGGAAGGGAACAAGCCGCGGCCGTGCAGCCCGAACCGTTCAGGAAGGTCAGGAACTATTAATTAATGTCAGGACATTGCTCCAAATTACAGAGCTGCGGGGGCGAGCTGGGTTCAGCCCCCTCTGCCTCCCTGCTAAAGGCAATAGAGGTCTAACGCAACCACCCAGGGTCCCCCATCTTTTCACAGCTGCTCTTTTCCAACAGTTCTTCTTTGCACTGGGCTGAAAAGCTCGATCCGGCTCCCCTCCCAATTTGGGGGCTGCCATTGCCCACCACTGCCAGGGCACGGGGCACCTTGCTGTCCTCGCCCCGTTTCCTGCACGGCACGCTGCGAGGAGGGCATTGGGCCACGGTTTTAATCGGTGCCCCGTGCATTTGGCTCTCTTAAACGTGATTAGAGAGAGATTTACTGGCTTGCTTTACAGCTCTGCCGGCCTGTGGGGTTGTGCTGATTTATATCGGGATCTGCCCTGGCTCTGGGTGGGTATGGAGGCAAATGGAGGCTGGCCAGCACAGAAGCTGGATTTTAATGTAGGGTTTTCTGCCTCTTAAATTGGTGGCAGAAGCTCAGAGGAGCACCTGAGCGAGCCTTTCCCTCAGGGAAGCTCCCAGCCACACTTGCTTATGGCTCCGGGCTTCCCCCTGGGAACGGCTTTCGGGGAGGAGGGGGATCTGCAACTTGTACCCTATGTCTCTTCCATCCCTCGTGGCACCGAGTCCATCCCTGCTCCCTGCCACTTGTTTCTTGCCTTCCCTCATATTTTCCCCTCACCTCCCATGGGCTGGGGCTCCTCACTCCATCCCTCTGCCCACCCTGGGGTGGATGGGAAATAGGACTAATGGGTCTCTAGGCCAACTTGAATATTGCTCAGTGACATTTCCAATGCGTAGCAGGGAGATTTCAGCCTTTTCCCCCGGGCAGTCTCACCCGCTGGGTGCCAAAGCGCTGAGGGAGTCAGAGGATAGTTATGAAGGAGACGCTCGCATCAGCTGCATAAATGAGATTTCGCTAAGCAGATTAGAGAAAGGTCTCTGGTTCGGTGCGGGGCTCGGGGGAAAACAACGCTGGGCTGGCGGCACCTCCCCTACCTTCGGGCCGGTGTTTTTGCTTGGGGTTAAGAGAGCGACCTTCGTGTAATATTAGGTTTAATGAGGAATTTTGTGTGATTTAATTGGGTTGATGGTTGGGCTGATGATCTTAGAGATCCTTTCCAACCTTAATGATTCCTAATTTTTACTTTCATTAAAAAATAATCCAGCCAACAAACCAGGAAACATCAAATTATTCCTCTCCCCTTAATTGGTTTAGTGGTGGACTTGGTAGTGTAGGTTAATGGTTGGACTGGATGATCTTAAAGGTCTTTTTCAACCTAAATGATTCTATGATTCTATGATAAGATTTATTTGCAGTCAGTTGGAGTGTCCTTATTAAGTAAATTCCAGGCCGCGAATAATACAGCCATAAGGTTTTCCAGCCGTGCTTATTGCCAGGATGCCATTAAAATGGGGACAGGGGAGGGGATTAACAAGGAAAGGCTTCAAGTCAGAGCACTGGTGGGAGAGTGCGTGGTTGTTTCGGGAGGTGAGCTGGGCCTGGGTCCCTTTCTCAGCTGGCTGTACTCGATCCCCAAAACCCCAGTTACAGTTAGCCCCCGTCCTGGAAACGCATGCAACGAGTTTATCCTCGTTGCCTTGGGGCTCACGCCGGTGTCGGAAAAGCTAAGTGGGGGTTATGCTAGCAAGCCACGGTCGCTGGGACTGAAAGACTGTAATTCCCCCCAATTAGATCGACTTTCTCGGAGCTGAGCTATTCAAGCAAAAGGCCCTTTTGGCTCGCTTTGCCCCCCGGCGAGAGCGCAGCTGTGACCTGCTGCGGCTGAGAGTGGCGGTGAAGAGCCTGATAAATGCCACTGGGGTGCCCCAGGCGGGTGCGAGACACAGGTGACACACGTATCGTGGGTAGCTGCGGGAGCCGGTGCTGCTCCTGAGTTTCCCACCTTATTCCCTCCATAGGGAGAAGGTCGAGTCACGTTTCTCCCTGCCTCAATTTCCCTGATCTTTAAGAAAATCCTTGTCCTTGGTTCCCACAGCGGCGGGCTGCCAGCAGGAGGAGAGCGTGACGCGCCGTGCGGGTCTGTCCTCGCGTGTCTGTCGCATCCCTGGATGCTGTTTCGGGGTCAGCTCCAACCTGCTGAGCCTTCCCCCTTGTTAGCGCTGCCCACAAGCGAGCGATGCTTCACGTGCCGAACAGGAGAGCTTTGCGCTTCAAGGGACCTTCAAAAATCGCCCCCGTCCCCCCCGACTCTGGGGCTCTCCGAAATGCCCAGCTCCCCGGCCGCCCCCGCGTACCGGTGCAGAGCAAAGCCAGCGCCGTTCCCAGCTGCCATCGGAGCCGCCTCGGTGACTCAGCAGCCGTGCTGAAAGCTCCTTTATTTATTTAAACGGCTGCTCCCGCTCGGCTGAGCATCCCCTGCAGCGATGCTGCCGCTGGGCTGGCCCCAGCTGCCGCTCGGCGAGGAGGAGAGCGATACCCGGCACCCCGAGCCCCCCAGTTTCCTCCGGACACGATGGCTTTGACTACCTGGGCTCTCGGCCCCGCGCTGCGGCTCTGTGCCGCCGGCCCTGCCTGCTCCTGGGAGATGCTGCACGTGGCTGGAGCAGGCACCCTCTCCCCGTTTTGCTTTTCCCCAGGGTGCTGGGTTGGATCTCCCGGGAGGGGGAGGCCACTTTGGCTGCTGGTGACCTTCAGTGTCGTCTTTCTATTTTTTAAATACCTTATGTCAGCTCGGGCTGGAGGAATACGTTGCGGCTGCGGGGTTTTGTCCTCGCAGGGGAACGTTGCCGGTCGCTGCCTTGCTCAGGGCCGGAGCTGTGGCTGCGGGGCCGGTGCAAGGGCACAAGGCGCATGGGGTCAGTGTGGTGGGTGCTAAAGGAAAATGATGTCTGGAAGAAGAAATGTGTCTGTGACCCGTGGCAGGGGGGTTGTTGCTAGCCCCAGCGTTAGGGTTTGGTGCTGTGAGGGTCTGGGGGGGTCCCATAAGCTGATGTTTTACGCTCTGTCTGCCCCGGAGAAGCTGGATCGCGTCGGTGCCTACCTCTCCGAGCGGCTCATCCGAGATGTGAGCCAGCACCGATACGGGTAAGGGCTGGGAGGCTGTTTCAGCCCTGGCATCAGGACCGGACTTGGGTTTGTTGCTCTCTGGAGAGCCCTTGCTGGGGGGAAATAAACGAAGGGAAAATCTTCCCCTTTCCTCAAGGTCTGTGTCATTTTTACTCTGCTTTTTTAAGCATTTATGGTCTCCCTGTCTTATGCCTGTGCATGCCCAGGCTGGGCAAAACCGAGAGAAGGCAGGGGTTTGAGGAAGGGAAGTTTCTCTCGGTTTCGTGCAAGCAGAGTAAGCAATACCCTTTCAGTGCCCTGCCGCGGGGAGCTCAGCCCTCTTACGAGACACCAGAGAGTCTCATCGGGAGGCAATGCTCTGTAGGAAGCCCTGTCCTTCTGCTGGGCCATGGTGGGGTCCTGCCCAGCACTGGCCTGACATGGCTTTGGGTTGAGCAACGTTCCTGCTTTCCCTGTCTGGACTGTGTTTGGCCCCCCACACCGTGTGACCGATGGATCACCCGGGTCCCCTCTCCTGGCAGGCGCCTTGGGCCTTTGTCTCTCTCCCGTTGCTGCTTTCTTTAAGCGAGGCCTTAAAAATCTCCTACTTCTGGAAGAAGAGGTCATGTTAGGTGAGAGGGAAGGCATTAGATTTAATTACGCAATTATTATTGACGGCATCCGTGCTGTGTCTCCTCTTCAGCTTCATTCATCAGGATGGGGGTGGTGGACTGGGAAAGCGGCTGGGCTCTTTGCTCCTCTCCCAGGGCTAGGAATGTGCGTTAATCCTAAAATACTCTAAAGTCACATCTCTGGAGGTGAGATAATTCCCAAGGAAGCTGCGGGAGGTGGAGGGGACCTGGCTCCTTGGCTCATGGGATCGCTTCCAGGGAAGCTTTCCGGCTATTTTGCAGGGAATGCTCGTGGCCCATGCCGAGACGCCGGCAGGGACGTGTGGCCCGGCAAGGTGAGATAAGTCACGCTGCCTCGGCCGTCCCGGGCGAGGGGAATTTATTAAGAGGATTCAGGAGATCATCAGACGCTCGTTTGTGTGAATGGCAAACAAGAATTTATTAAGAGGCCAGATTAAAGGTACTTTGGAAAAAGAGCAAAATCGATCGAAGGCAGCTGAGAAGGGAGGAGGGAGAGCAGATACGAGACTTAGAAATAAAATATTGGATAGCGGGAAGGTGCGGAGGGGTTTGCAGGGAGAGCACGAGAGGTGGAAGGACCTCTTTGCCGCTGCAGCGTTGCTGGCAGCGCTGAGCCTGGGGACCCCAAAGCGGGACCCCGAAGGGGGACCCCAAAGCAAGGGGTGGCCTCCCCCGCCGTCGGAGGCGAGGCGCTCAGGAAGCGAGCGAGCACATTGCAGGAAGCGAGCGGTGCCAGCGCCGGGAGCTGGCACGAGCAGGCGTGAGCTCATGCGTTCCAGCGGGAGCGGTCGCTGGCTCCCGCCGCGCCAGCCTTTGTTCCCCCAGCATCCGCTCCGTCAGCTTCGGCTTCTCGGCGGCGGTTGCCAAAAAGCAGCCCCGAGTTACTCACGCTTCCCCAGGCTCGCAAAGGCCGGCGCTTTGGGGTGGCTGACACCAGTCTCTTCCGTGGGGTGCAGCATCCGAGTAACTCCAGGCCCCGGGGAAAAAATGCATTGTGCTGGAGCCCGGGGATCCTGGCGTGCAAAGCCCTCGGAGCGGCGTTGGGGAGGGTATCGCGGGTTTGTTGTTTTGTTTTTTTTTCCCCTTTTTTTAAATAAACAAACTGTGCAGATATTCACCAGCGGCCGGGAGGCAGGGCAGTGCTGGTACAGCTTTTCACAGGGGGATGGATCAGGGTGACCCTGCCCACAGATGCTGAACTCTCTAGTGCGTGTGGAAGCGCGACAGATGCTTGAGAGCCCGCCTGGACCGCCGCTCATCCCCAAGCGGAAGACGGTGGGGGGATCCCTGGCTGCTGCGGAGGGTGTGCTGCAGCCCTGAGAAACAGCAGATGGCACAGGGAGAAATATCCAGGTTGCAAATCCAGGATCCCTTCCTCCCTCGGCAGCTCCCCGAAAGCGGAGCAGGGGATCGCAGCCACGTTTGGGATATTTGGTGGCTAGGGCTAATAGTGTTGCTCTGAGTTGGGATGAGGCCGATGCCTGCCGTTCGCTGGCCTGCGGAGTTGCTGCTGCGAGGGGTTTTGGTCCTTGGAGAGGCTGCGTGGGGCACGGCTTGTGCG